GTTTAAAGCCCATGTCCACTAAAGGACGTGGCAAGGCAGCCAAAAACTTAAACCAAAAGCTTTTGAAAGTAGTGATGGTCCCTGAGGACCATCATGCTCATATGGACCATCACTTATTAAAAGTTTATTTATTTTTTTTTTTTTAAACTTTAGGATTATTGCAGTATCGCAGGTAGTGCTTGACTTGTCATATGGCTGGAGGTAGGCTTCCCTCTTGGAGACTACATGAGGTGGCATGGGTCGTGGTGGTAGAGCTATGCACACACCTAGGTGGGCACCTGGTGATAGCGAAGAACCCGGCATTCGTGCATGAGTAGAGAGACTTGGTGGCAGTAGTGAACTTGACCAAAGGCATGTGTGAGCCTTGGGTAATGCTTAAGGTTTATGGGGACCTGGTGTAGAACAAGAGTTGAACTAGACACGTCGGAGTTAAGATGGGGGAGGCTTGTTAGATCTCTCCTATTTAGTGTCATTTGTGTGAGCTAAATGAGGCACAAAAACTTGCTGAGCAACATGTCATTTTACAAAGGATCCATAGGTCTTGTATGCGTGCTCCTTTGGCATATTTAGGTATCTCTCCCATAGTTGTTGGGAACAGGATCGGGAACGGTTCCAGGATCGAGGATGGGATGGACAGATCTAAGCTACCCCGAAGATTTTGATATTTTGGTTCGATGTCCGTATAGCCTCAAATGTAGGGAACACGGTCCATGTTTGTTGGGGATCGAGTTCCTCTATTAGATGGGATCAATAAATATAATGTTGGGGAGCGAGATCCTTTGATTAGGAAATGAAGTTCCTGAGCGCAAGTTTGAGTTTCTTGATCTGGGGAGCGCAATAGGAAAAATGATTCAACATAGTATGGAGCAAGGGGTAAATTTTCAAGGAGCGAGCTCCATTTACATGAAAAATGAGATCCTCCTGTAAGTTTAAATAGGGCTTCCTGGCTTTGCAGGGTAATTCCCAGCATTGTTAATTAATAATATGTAATCTTTATCTAGGAAGACGGAGCATTAATTTTGGAAGATCGCAGGGCATAATTTATGCATGTAAAAGTAAAATTCTATGTGTAAAGTGTAAACTATAAATTACAAATCTGGATGCAATATGCAGTGATCCTTGTGTTCCAATGTAACATAATCTAGATCCTATAAATTACAGATCTGGATGCAATATGTGGTGATCCTTGTGTTCCAATGTAACAAAATCTAGATCTGACGACTCTTAGGATTGAGAACCGTATCACTCAGGAATTAGATCCTATAGTAGGCCGGAACACAAACACATAACCTTAAGGAAACTCGTTCCCTTGAAAAAGGGCGGAAGATTCTGAAGGCCAAGAAAACGAGATCCGTTCCGGGAGCAATAGATTCAAGATTCTAGAAGGTATCACCTACCAAAGTAGGCGATCCTGGTAACTATGATCTCTCTTGGCAGACCAGCTTTTTAGACCGGAAAACCTATACGAGGGTGGAACTTCATCTTTAACCAACCTCGGTTGGGAGGCAAGATTGTGAGGTGCGGGGTGCCGATGCATGTGCTCATATGGGCTAGCAATGCTACACCTTGCACAAGATGGTATGACTAAGGTGGTGGGACTTGGTGGACCACCAAGACCAATAGGCTTAGGCTTGGATGGTTGAACAATGGGCAGTATGACTTGATGGGACATGGGCATGGTCCATGTGCAGGAGGCATAGCTAACCATACAATTGGCTGGGCTTATGTAATTGTCCCAGACATGCACTCATGTATATAGGTTCCATAAGAAAGAATGAGTGCACATGTAGTGGGCCTGTGTGGGCACTGATAGCCCACAATTTCATCAAATATAGGATATAATATGGCTACTTTATAACAAGAACACACTGGTTGTTTTGATGGTTAGATATATTGCTTATTAGCTCTGCGATGAAGGTTCGAACCTTAGGCGCGCCTCTTTTCTTTTTCGAATGCATAATAAGTTAGTTGTAGATTAGTATAGTTTATGCAAAAAACTTTGAAAAGTATTCGTGGTTAGATGTTATGGTTATTGAGTCCTAGGGATGGAGGTTCGATCCCAGGAGCGGCCTCTTCTCTTTTTATCAACGGTAAAAAAATAAGAAAAGAAGAATCTTTTCTTTAAGAGTTCATTAAAATAGAATTGCACTGTTGGGGTGCTAGCATCACACCCTTTTGCTAAGGTGCATAAAGGACAGAATGCACAGCCTAGTAAACCACTTAAAATATATGATCAATAATAGCAGCATTGTATAATATATTGATTATTTTATTTTATCTTTATTTTTAAATTTTGGTTTCCCTGGATTGCCAATCCATGCGATTCCGGACCAGGATAAATGGGTCGACAGTCCACCCTACCTGTCTACTTTCAAAATATTTTCTACTATGAAGATTTACTGTGTCAGTTTGTTCTATGTCCTGCACAAGTTTTGGCAATGTTCTGTTCAAATTGATTTCTATAAAGTAGGCATTGGTCTAAGCCCCATATTGAAAACTAGTTCGCATAATTTTAGTTGTATATGCATTGGTGGATCATAGATGCTTTTATTGAATGGAGGCCTTTTCCTGTGTTTTGCCTTCTTATTAATTCATAGATTATGGCACAACATGCGTTTAGAGAAATGGCGTATGTGTGGCAAAGTATTGATCAAAATATCAAATGGCTCTTTTGTCATCCGAATTCTCTTTCAAAATTTAGGGAATGGACCAAGGTTTTCTTGTTTTATCTTCACTAATTTAATTAAGTTTGGAGCCAAAATGACAGTTTTCTTCATATTCATGTAACCAGGGACCATGATATGTGCTTTACTTATAGTTATCTGTAAATAGTATGGGAATATGACCAAGAGTAATTGGAGTTTTGGATATATCTTGAGTTAGACTCAACTGCATCAATGAAATAATATATGAATCAATTTTGTTACGAGTAAATGATCAAATTAGCCAATTAGATATGCAAGATAAAAGTACCAAAAAGATACACAAGTTGAAACCCATGAATCACTTAAACAAGCCCTCAGAGCATGGTTTATTGTTTGTACTCGTTACCAACAGTAACTCATTTTAATTTGTAAACCAAATTCAGGGAACATTTGGCCATTTGCCTAAGGGGGAATGTTAAGTTAGAAGTTTGTGGGACTTTTCATATCATGGATGTATTCATTCGTGGCATAAATATGCCTTTGATATTATTTTGGTCACTCATCCACAGGGAACAAAATAGTGGATATTCTCACTGGCATTTAATGTAAGTTCTCTTCCCAAATGGTGACTCTATATATTCTGTGTAAATTGCTATTAGGAATTATGCAGCTTTTAGATGGAGAGTCAAATAGCTCCTTGGAACCTCAAATTTTTAGAACTTCATTGAGACATTACTAAACTGGTTCCACGCTCATATGGGTCCTATTGTTATTTTTGGTATTGTCACACCAGCTTTCCACATTTTTCTAGATTGGGTTGGTTGTCTAGGCACTCAAACGTTGTGCTTCCTTTGCATATCACTCATATCATAGAAGTGAATAGGGTGGAACTGGTTATTAACTCCATTCTGGTGGTACAGTGTCATGCCGCCTTCCACACTTGCTGTGAGATCGTGAGCCGTCAAAATTTTTTATGATCTTGGTAGTTATCTGAGTTTTACCCCTCGATATTGTGGCAGATGACCTCCATCCTATCTAATGACTACCTTCGGTAGTGTGGGAGAATCATGCAACCGGAATTATGGAAATAAGTGTTTAACAATTACGGGTTCATTTGAAAGAACCTTTTAACATCTATAATAGTGCCATATGTCCTGTGCATTGTTGTAAAAGTAAAATGAGGAAAACAAAGACCTTTTGTGGTCCATCTTTATTATTAAAGCAAGATTAGGAGCAGAGTTTTGGTTTCCTGTCAGTTTCTAAAAGGCTGTAGTAAAAAACGGTATGTTGGCTGACCCTGAGATTTTTGATATTGAAGTGAAAATGCAATATGGTCCCTTCTGAAACGCCTCATAGCTTTGCAATCTCGCAAGGGGTATTTAATTTGTACACTCCTTAGAAGTGTCTTGCAACAAATTGCAAAGTATTATCTATCAAAAAACAAGACAACAATCTGTAGATTATGGGAAGTTCAATAATTGTTGCTCTTTAATATTATATTATTTGTTTTCCTCAAATTTTTTTTTTTTTATGTTATTTGAAATATAAGCTTTGCAACATATTTGCTAAACAAGTTGCCAGCACTGCAACAGGTCATCTCTATAATTCCTGCTTTTACCAAGAAAGGAAACGAAAAAAGGCTTTATGGAGTACGAAATGCGGCTTTCAGTGTTTGTATATGTCCTAACATAAAATAGATACTTCAGTGAGTCTACGAGCAAGTATAACTAGGCTACAGACTATGGCCCTTCTATAGAAACAATGTTAAGAGCCGTGTCAAATTCGTTTTGGAGGCTCCTTGTTTGGCCTGAAAGAGAACTGCTCGGCTCTTTGGCTGAATCAGCAGTCTTTGGGAGTAACTTTGTAGCTAAAAGATAAAAATTTTCAAAAAAATGTTGTCAACTAATCTCTTCAATGTTCGATTCTATTCTATGTTACAAAATTTCTGTGAATGCTATTCCGATCTCGTAGTCCTATTCTGTGTCCCGTGCCAAGAAGCTTTACTCCTCTTTTCATTCCAAATTCAACAATACGACCGATACGATTGATTTGTCTTTTTTTTTTTTCTTTTTTTTTTTAAATTTATTTAAATTTTGTATATGACATGTAATTTTTTTGAAATTTCAATATTGTAGGGATATTTTGTTGGAATTTTGAACATATTTGGGGCTTTTTTAAAAATTTTATCTGTGTATTGGAATGAACAGGGTATGATTCATTAAACATCTGTTCAGGGCCTCAAGCTGTAAGACTTTGGCCAAGTTGGCCAAAGCGAATCTAATAACACTGCCTAAGAGTTTGATTATACCTCTCTATGTTAAAGGAGTGATCATAACTTGGTTCATTTATTCTCAGGCTCCGCATGGATGGTGCTCTCACGTTCCTTCATGGAGTTCTGCATATGGGGGTGGGACAACCTCCCACGAAGGGTCCTAATGTATTACGCCAACTTCATATCTTCGCCTGAGGGTTACTTCCACACTGTCATTTGCAACACTAAGGAGTTTCGCAACACCACTGTGAACCATGATCTTCACTACATTGCATGGGACAACCCTCCAAAGCAACACCCACATAACCTTGGCCTAAATGATACCCAAATGATGATTGATAGCAATGCCCCCTTTGCAAGAAAGTTCAAAAGAGATGACCCTGTGCTTGACAAGATTGATGCCGAGCTCTTGGGTCGCTCCAAAGGTGCACTTTTGCCTGGGGGCTGGTGTAGTGGAGATGGGCAAAATGGGAGCAATCCATGTTCGGTTTTGGGGGATCCGAGTGTACTTAGGCCTGGTCCAGGGGCCATGAGGCTCGAGCACCTCACTGTAGATTTGCTTTCTCACCGTAAGTTTAGGCCAAGGCAATGCAGGTAATGACACAACAATGTTGTTGTTGCAACCTATATATTTGCAGCCAGTGGGAAGCTTGGCACATTCATCATCATAACATCATTATTGCCATACATGGGGTGACTGATTGTGGTTTCCCACGAATGAGAAAAACTTGATTCTTTCTTAAAGAATATCACTCGGCAATAAAGGAGGTGATAAGATGGGTGAATTGATGGTGGTTCATGCCGGTGGTGATAGATGGGCAAGCATGTGTGGTTTGCCATTTGATATGCTGTCATAAGAATTGAATCAGTTGGCTCGCAAAGTAGGAAAGTTTTCTGAGCTTTGTTTCATCTTTTTTGCCATGCGCTTTACTGCTGCCCATGCTCTTCCAGCTTGAAGTGCGGAATGGAATTTGAAAGTGTCAATTCCATGTGGCTACCTGTACAGTTTCATGCAATCGTAAGTAAAAGAAAGGGAAACCACAAACTTTTGAGTTCTGAAAGTTGCATTATGTTCACATGACAGTTTTGTTCCATCTAAATGCACAATCCGTTGTGCAAGAGAATGTTATGAGAAGAAATGAAAGGGAATAATATCATGAGCTAAATTCAATTTCATGCTTTTGTGGCTCATTTTCCCTGTGAGAAAATGGAGAAAAATTAGACAAGCCTCTGAGGACTAGAATGTTGGATTCTTTTGCTAAAATTGTGGGCTGAACTACTAGAGCACTACAAGCTACCTCATAAAAGTCATGAGGTAGGGTTGAGATTGATAAATGTGTATGTCTCACTTGTGCAGTCAGGATTGCACCCTCTCATGACTGAATTTTACAATCACAGTGATCCTTGTGGAAGTAAAAACAGTTTTGAAACTTCAGGTAATGGGTTTGGAGTTATTTTACATATTAGAGGTTCACGTGTATTCGCAAGACGTTAAGATTTCAATCTCTCCATCGCTCCTATTGAATGAGAGATTATTGGAATTTAGGCTTTGATAGACCATATTTCCAACAGTAACTTGGCTTGGGCTAGGGCCGAGCCCATGGTCCGACCATATTCTAAAATGCTGAGTAGGAGATCAAGGTAATCTTTATAATTAGAATTAGGAAGCATCTAAGTTCCAATTATGGTGTTAGGCATCTTGAGAAAAATAAAAACTTGTATTCAAACTTCAAATAGGAGATCAAGGTAGTTTTCAATAGACTTGAATTTGCAAGCATCTAGCTGACCCTATTGAGTTCGTAGGGCTGGCAATGGGCCAGGTGACGCCAGTCCTATACTCTATCGAGCTTGTAGGCTTGGCAATGGGCTGGGCCAGCCCTGGCCTTGTTCCATTGAGGTCCTAGCCCTGTCAAGGCGTTGGGCCGGGTAAAGTTGAAGAAAAACAAAGCAAAAAAATTTAAAGGAATAAGGGCCAGGCCCTCCCTTGCCCTGACCTAGGCCGGGCCCTCTGGCCACATTTTGAGCCCAAACCCTAGGTTTTTTTTAGGACTGGTGGCCGGGACGGGCTCCCCCGCTCATTGCTACCAATGTATACAATTGAATTCTACAAAATCACGAAAAGTCTCGTTGCAACGTATTCAAGAGATAAAATGGTTAAAGCAATATGTACACATTCAGAAACATGCAACCATCAATCAGTCACATACTTATATAAAACGATGACCCGCAAGGATAATGCTACATTTTTGCAAGTTTCAAAATTTGTAGTTTGGTATTGTTTTAGGGCTATGGCCATAAGCAAACAATCAGATTTTGCGTCCATGGCTAGAAACAAAAAGCAACTGAAGGGGCATAAATCTCTTTTATGCAATATGCATGCAATGGGTAAAAAAGATTCCCTTGTATACAAACAACAACTTGGATAAGTGGCTAATGTAATTGACGGAAACCCTCAGACCTTTGGGTTATGCATGTCTCTTCTATATTTTATTGAGAACTAATTTGGGCATGATTGTATTTTATATTTGAATTTTAATTTTTTTTATAGATCTAATTCACTCAAAATTTTGAGCGTTTACTATTGAAAAAATGGAGCACCTAATAAAAATATTAAAAACATAATTTGCAAAAAATACATTGACCAAAATGCTTCTAAAAGTTATAGGGGTATTTTGGCTTTTATTTTTACAAATAATTTATTTAATACTTTTATTAGGTTCGTCTTGATGAGAAGAATATACATTAAAAAATTCAAATGATTTGATTTTGTAGAAAGAACATTAAAATTGAAATACGAAAGACAATTATGACCATCAAATCGGCCCATATTCAATCTAAGCTATTGGGCTTATACTATTCCATCAGCTAGTAAACAGACATGATCTTTATATATATATATATATATATATAAGAAAATGTTTATATAAGGTTGCAACCTTAAAGTGTAGAACTATATATGCACTTCAAAAATTCATCGCAAAAGGTTGGTTTAATGTTGAAAAACCCTCTAATTGAGCATCTCAACATCGAGATGTATGATTATGAAAGAAAAATTGATTTTGAGTCCCAGAAATAGTCCATCTTACATCACATTATCTAGACTGTCGTTTTCAAAATTGTCATATGTTTTTAGATCTACTTGATTTTAACCATTTTTGGAGTTTAAAATTTTATAATTAGATATAAAAATAGATTTTGAGATAATCCTAAGAATATTTTGCATCAAAGTTATATATTATGATCAAATTTGAAGGTACGCCTTAATTGGATTGTTTAAAGGTTGCAACCTTATATATATATATATGTATGTATATTGAATAATATAAGTCCTAACGATAATTCTTATGGGTCAGAGTGGTCGGTTCTTCCCCCTGCAAAAATTCTCGTGTTAGAAAATCAGGTAGATGATTAGAAGTACCACGAAGATGTTCAATGGTGAAATCAAATGCAGAGAGAATGGCTTGCCAACGAGCGAATATCTGTTTGGACACTAAATTTTGCCATCTTTAGTAAGAATATCTTTAGCAGCTTTACAATCAGTTCTAATAAGAAAAAAAGTATTCAAAATATCACCTTGAAATTTAGGTACACAATGTACTATAGCTAAAATTTCTTTTTTGACAGTTGAATAATTTTGTTGGGTTGTATTCCAAGCTTTGGAAGTATATCAGACTAATTGTTCAGTATTATTAAGTTTTTGTTTAAGTATTCCTCCTAAGCCTAAGTCTAATGCATCACATTCAATGATCTTAAAACCATCTAGGTCAGAAAGAGAAAGACAAGGTAATTCTTTAGATTCCATTTTAAGTTTTTTGACTGCTTCAGTATGGATATTAGTCCTTCTGGGAGGATTTTTCTTTAGTCTATCGTATAGAGGTTTTGCATCTATAGCTAAGTCTTTGTAGAAGTCTGCTATATAATTAAGACAACCTAAAAATCGTTGTAATTCTTTTTTATTTAGAATTGTATCTGGAAATTTATCAGCAAATTGAATAGATCTATCTATTGGGATGATTGTTCCTTGTGTGATATTATGTCATAAGAATCTGATTTTTGTTTGGAATAAACTCATTTTTTTTGCAGATATTGCTAGTAAATTTACCATATGAATCTAATCTCAAATACCAACAAAAGCTAGACTCATTCAAATGAATACAAAACTATTAGAATTTTGTAAACAGGAAATAGATAGTTTATTATCTAAAGGATTATATAGATTCAGTACCTCTCCTTGGAGTTGTGCTGCTTTCTATGTTAATAAAAATGCCAAAAAAAAAAGAGGAGTCACACGGTTAGTAATAAATTATAAACCACTAAATAAAGCATTACAATGGATTAGATATCCCATACCCAATAAAAAAGATTTATTAGATCGATTATTAAATGCTTGTATATTTTTTAAATTTGATTTAAAATTTGGTTACTGGCAAATTCAAATAAAGGAAGAAGATAGATATAAAACTGTATTTAATGTCCTCTTTGAGCAATATGAATGGAATGTCATGCCTTTTGGATTGAAAAATGCTCCATCAGAATTTCAAAGAATTATAAATGATGTCTTCAATCCATATATAAAATTCATGATAGTTTATATTGATGATGTTTTAATCTTTTCAGATAATATACCTCAACATATCAAACACATTCATGCTTTTATTAATGCAGTCAAACATGCAGGACTAGCAATATCTGCAAAAAAATGAGTTTATTCCAAACAAAAATCAGATTCTTAGGACATAATATCACACAAGGAACAATCATCCCAATAGATAGATCTATTCAATTTGCTGATAAATTTTCAGATACAATTCTAGATAAAAAAGAATTACAACGATTTTTAGGTTGTCTTAATTATATAGCAGACTTCTACAAAGACTTAATTATAGATGCAAAACCTCTATATGATAGACTAAAGAAAAATCCTCCCAGATGGACTAATATCCATACTGAAGCAGTCAAAAAACTTAAAATGGAATCTAAAGAATTACCTTGTCTTTCTCTTTCTGACCCAGATGGTTTTAAGATCATTGAATGTGATGCATCAGACTTAGGCTTAGGAGGAATACTTAAACAAAAACTTAATAATACTGAACAATTAGTCAGATATACTTCCAAAGCTTGAAATACAACCCAACAAAATTATTCAATTGTCAAAAAAGAAATTTTAGCTATAGTACATTGTGTAACTAAATTTCAAGGTGATATTTTGAATACTTCTTTTCTTATTAAAACTTATTGTAAAGTTGCTAAAGATATTCTTACTAAAGATGTGCAAAATTTAGTGTCCAAACAGATATTCGCTCGTTGGCAAGCCATTCTCTCTGCATTTGATTTCACCATTGAACATCTTCGTGGTACTTTTAATCATCTACCTGATTCATATTCAAAGAATAACATATGGAAAGAATTGGAAACCTGCTACCGCAAGACCTTATCACCATAGACCAACACCAGTAGATATACAATTTGAAGAAGACCTTATATCACATACAACCTCCTATTCAAGAAGAACCATAGTTAATTGGTACATAGATGGCATGTCTGAACTTCAAATACTTGATACCATGAAACATATGACTATGTATGCATCCGCCTGTAAGATGGTAGGCAACCATGACCAAGAAGTAGCCAAAGGCATAGTTTGTGGATTGACTGGTTGGTTACGAGGTTGGTGGGATTTTTCATCTCCCTGAACTTACAAAAAATCAAATATTAAATACTACTCGACAATGAACAGTAAAAAATGAACATAACCAAGATACTTTATACTCTGAAAGTGATGTTGTTAACACTCTTATTTATACCATCACCCTTCATTTTGTGGGGAGTACAACCCTCCTCGAAGCAAGAACTGAAGATCTTTTATCCAATTTAAAATGTCCAACATTATCACATTATAAATGGTATAAATATGTATTTTTCTCAAGACTATTAACTCGAGAAGATATATATATATATATATATATATATATATATTTGGGAAAAGATGAGATTAGCTCACTAGCTCATATGAACATATGAGCCCAACGTCTCAGATTGAATCTTGGCCGATCTGACGATCATGGATGTCTGATAGTGTTTAAATTTTAGTTTTTTTTCTACAAATGCAAATCACTTTAAATTTTAGGCTTGTGTTCATAAAAAATAGGTGAATCTTCAAAAAATATCAAAAAAATAATTTATATGAAATAAATTGACCAAAATATCTCCAAAATGTTTTGGGGTGTATTTTGATATTTTTTGCACGAATACTTTGTTTTATTAGATGCACCTTGATGAGAAGAATACACGTCTAAAATTTCAAGTGATTTGGATATGTAGAAAAAGAAAAAAAATTCAAGCACTACCGGATAT